AAAATTTACCAAATTGATGGAGAATCTTAAAAATTATTTTCAATATTTAATATAAAAATTTGAAACTATTAAACTCAAGACCATAGGATAAAATTGAAACTATTAAACTCAAGACCATAGGATAAATTTAAAATAATATGGTACCATCCTTCAGATGGGCATGTAGGGGTGCTATAACCTTCCCCACATGTAACCAAACTCCTAAATCATTTTTTGGTTTGTAAACCTGTACCTATTCTTTTAAGAATCCTTAGTCAAGCTTAGGAGTTCTTTAAAAGAATAGATTCCTTAGGTAGCCAATCACACCTAATTAAAAAAGATTGGTGGTGACTCCATCCATTTATTAAGTATAGCTATAGATTTATAGATCTATATGTTATGATAATTTTTTTTGAACATATTGGTTGTAATCATAGATTTGAATATTGGCTTCAGCTATGAATTTGTTGAATGTTGGCTTTAGCTATGAATTTGTTAAATGTGGCTTCAATAGCAAATGAATCAAGAAATGATTATTTACTTTCATAACTTCTAATTTCTTTAATCAATGTTTCAAATACTCATTTTGTCAAATAAATTTGGTATTGCAACCTACTATGCAATCGTAAGTGAATCTATTGGTAGGTAAGTTTCAACTGTAATTTTGAAAAAGGAATGCTTCAATTAAAAATATGGTAGAGTGAAGGCTACCACCGTTACCGTCAATAACTCAAATAGAGAATTTAGGTAATTATTTCTTTTAGATATATTCTTTAACTTCTTAGGAACATGTTTAGCTCTTTGTTGATTATTATTAGAATTGAGTTGGATTATATACTGATATTATTGAATATCTATTAATGTTTATATTAGATTGGATTTGATGTTGGCTATTATTGAAAATCTATTGATTATTATTTTATTCTTGATGTGGTGATTGATACGTCGCTACTTTTAGTGATGCTTAATTATTAATTTAATATTTGACTTTTTTTCCTCCCAACTTCTTAATTTTTTGCTTATTGTTTATAAATAGATAATTCCACTTTTGATTTACAAGGAAAGTACTTATTTATTTATTAGCAACTTCCATTAAAAATTTTACAATTAATTATAAATTTAATTATAAGATTCAACACAAAATGAGGGCCACACACTAATTTACTATAAAAGTTGTCTCCTATTTGTATCGAAGGGACAGCTTAGCAATGTAAAAAAAAAAAGATTAAGGGGTAATTTTGGACTTAAAGAAAACTTTTCTAGAAGCTTCTTCTGCTTTTATTCTCACAATTTTTTCCTTTCTTTTCAAAATCTCGCCGACTTATATTGCTATGGCCATCAAAATCCCAGACCTAGGAGCAATGTAAGTCTTTGTTTTTTTACCTTTTAGTGTAAATTTTTACTATTCCTTTATTCAATAAATTATATTTTATCGACTTAGTTACTGATTTTTTTTTGTTAGAATATTAATTTTTCATAAAAACCTAAAATTTCTTCTTGAAATAATGAATTGTTAATCTAACACCTTAGTTATCATATTGTTTTTACTTTTCTTTCATTTTGTTTTTTTCGAATTTCCTTTCATTTGTTCTTTGCATTGAGATTGGTAAATTTGGTTTGCTTTTTTTTTTTTCTCAACATTGTATTGTGAATTTTATATGGGTTTGCAATTTTTCTTGCATGTATTCCTTTTTGCTTTTTTTTTTGTTCATATTCTTTTTATTTTACTTAATTTGTTGTTTTCTCAAGTTTTGTTGTTTTATTCCATGCATAAGTTTTAACTTGCATAATTTTTAGCAGTCAATCATTTCTAGAGATGGGTACAAAAAACTTGACCTTATGCAAGTTAATTAGTTGATTGGAAGGAAAACTGAAGGAATTTCAATTTATCCATTTACATCATTTATATGAGGCAAGGGAGATCCTTGTAGCCATTTATTTGTTCGAGGCAAATCAATGGTTAGGCATGCTGATAACTTGTTTAATCTGGTATATATTTCTTTTTTGATTTTGTGAAAAGATATCTTATATTTGTTGCAACATTTCAATTCACAGATCAATAATAGTTCAATTAATTATAGATTAATTACATTTTACTAATTATAGCTTTTATTTTTGGAAAATCTATTCCTTTTAAAAGATTGATTGTCCAAAGGGGTTTTTCATGTCATTCATTTGTAGATTAATTGTGTTATTCATGTAGTACAATTTACAAACCAATAATAGTTCAAAGCAGTTTGTGTCCCAAAGCAAAGTTAGAATCGAGGTATATATTCTGGATTTTTAATAGGAGTATATAGGAAAATATGATAACTGAAACCTAATTTAGCCTAATGGTTTATACTCATTTTTAGAATTGATTGAGAAGCAATGGTCCTGAAATTGTAGCAGTTAGAATGGATACAAAGTTAAATATTGTTGAGTGGATTTTTGAGCAAATGGGTGGAGTCAAGTAAAGATTTTGGATTCCTTTAATGCTATGTTTGGTAGAGAGGATGGAAATAGAGAAAGATGGAAATTTTTTAATCTACGGTTGAAATTTATAAGAATATATACTATTTTGTAGTTCAACCATTAGATTAAAACCTTTTCCTTTTTTTTTTCCTCTTTTCTTCTTTCCTACCAAATAGAGTGCAAGTTTATATTTCTCAAGCTAATCTTACATTTTATCCACCCAAGCAACACCTTATCAGTTTGGAATTTTAAAGTTTAACAATGTGCAATAGTTACTTAATATTTGTTTTAGGGATAACTTTATAATAAAATACAATTTTAATTGTAGTTATTTAATTATTTGGTTTTTTTTTCTGAAGTTATGTTAAGAATGTCTATTTAAAAATTCTCAGACTCTATGTTATACATTAGACAGCTTTCATCTTGTATACTCAAGGCTTTAGTGGGGTTGATATTACAAAAATTTGTCAGCGTGCATGTAATTATGTCATCAGAGAAAACATTGAAAAGGTATGATTATGTTTAAGAAACACTAGGGGAAAAGAATACATGTATTATTGTTGATAAAAATGAAGTTCCAAGTAATGGGAAAATTGAAGAAAATAAGATAAATAGCTATGATGTATCAAAAGGTAAGTAGGTTTACGATGAGAGCTATCCTCTGTACACAAATGGATCGTGTCCTTTCATTGATGAAGGTTTTAACTGTATTAGCAATAAAAGGCATGATTAAAATTACATGAAGTGGAAATGGCAACCACAAGATTGTGTTTTTTAAGTAAATTTGATTTGCTTTATACTTTTTTCTTGGATGTGTACATCCTAGCAATTGTTGTGGTAAAGATTGGTATTTGGAGTGAAGCTCTCTATTTTAGGTTCAATGCTACAAAAAAAATGAATTTGATCCAAAGGAAAAGATTCGTCTTTATGGGAAATCCAATTAATAAAAACTAATGGGAATCCATGTTTTGTTTGTTAATGGAACTATAAAAGATCTAAAAATGAGACTTATGGGTGAAGAATCACCAAAAAGAAGGGCAATTATAGTTTTAAATTTATGGTAATTAAAGGATTATTTAAAGTTTATTGGCTCTTTATTTCACTCTTACACTGGAATTTTAAGTATTTGCCTATTTGGGGTAGTTGATGTTTTGGGTTTGTTTTTATAGGACTATAAGTGTATAGTTGAATACTATGTTTTTTACTTTTTAGTACATGAGAGTAAGGTAAGAATATGGCAAAAGTGAGAAGCCAACTTTGAGAATTGATGCCATTGATCATGGTTTATCAAAATGGAAAGGAGTTGATATTTTGTTCTTTAACACTGCAAATTGGTAGTCTTATTAAAGCAGGGTTAGTGCCATTACATTATCATATTATGAATCTTTAAAAAAATCTTGGCCAGTACATTTTAAAGTTGTAGTGTGATCTTCCTTCAAGGTTCTAATCTTAAATTAACTGTAAGCTGAAGAGTTCAACCAAGAGCTCTTTTTTTATTAAAAAAACATGTTAAGCTATTTTTTAAAAAAATTAGGATGACATTGTTGTGATATGTAAATGTGAGCTAAACCTTTATATGCTTTTGTAATAAGTTTGATGTTTATTAACAATTTTCATATCTTATGATTAACTATTATCAGGAAGGAAACCAAGTACATCCTTGACTTGATGTCTCCATAGCTTTCAGAAAAGCATTGATAACATGGGCAACATGGGTTGATAGACACATTAATCCAAACAGAACACAAGTTTTGTTGTGAAATTCAGCACATTCCTAGTTCAGGTTTGCTGTTGTTTATGTTGTTGTGAACTTTCCTTTCTTTAACATTTACTTATATAGATTACTAAGTAGGCTTTAATCATTCATTATATAAAGGAAGACAGTGGAATTCAAGTGGCCATTGTACGGAAGTTGTTTGGCCCCTTAATGACACTTCAGGTATGATTTACCTTAAAAAGAACAAAATTATAGAAGAGCTCATTTTGCAAATGAAAATTCCTATAACATTGCTAAATGTGATTGGTTTATCTATGTACAAAATAAATGGTCATCCATCAATAGATGTTGACTTTGATATCTTAGTGGACCTAGATCTCAACAATAATGGTTTGTTAGGGTCGGTGCCACAAGATTTTAGAGGGCTAAGAAATTTACAGAGAAATGATCTTTGGGAATAATGATCTCGATGGATCTCTGTTGGTCAAGTTATTCCTTGCTCCAAATCAATTACAAGTTGTAGCATTTTCATAGTTAAAATAAGCCCACAGCATAACGGGAACATGTCGATTAATCAAATATAATTTTAATGGATAGAAGGAAGAAAATAAAAATCTTTTTTCTTGCATTGGTATAAAAAAATAATAAAAATTTTTTTTTTTTATTGTTCGGTTCCCTTTGTCTTGATAGAAAAATAATAAAAATAGTTTTCCTTCTTTTTTTTTTATTGTTTAGTTTCCATGCGTCTTGAGTGCAAAAGCATTTTATAGTAAAGAAAACGTATTATTCAAAAGAAAAAAAAAAAATACTAAAAACCCTAAATAAAGTTAGCCGTTTTCAGATCAATATAAAAGGAAAAAATAATAAAGAATAAACAAAATAAAACATAAGGGAGGTTTAACAAAAAAGGCCTTCTGTAACCTAAAACTTTAGAGATTTAGGACTAGAAAGATAAAACAGAAGTCGGCAATGGTTTCTTTGTCCACTTGGTGTAGATACATCGTTCACAAGCTCGATTACTCATTCTCTCTTAGCTGGAAGGTCACATATTTTATATTTTATCTCTTCCCATTTTGGATCACTTCTGCTTTTGCTTTTGATTTTCATTTGTTAGGTCTTCTTTTTTTTAGTTATAAAAAAGTTATGATTTTGGAGCATTGGCCATGATTTTTTTCCATCTGTTTTGATGATTAGTAGCTGTAATTTGAGTTCTATGGTTGTTTTATCCGGTAAAGGTGGAAACTTTTCGTTTTTGGAGGAATTTGGGTAGTCCTGATGTTTCAATTTTTCTTTAATACAAACATAAGTTTTTTTGGATTATTAGATTGTTGTTATTTAGGGTTTTGAGAATGGATAGTTTCATCATGATACTAGATTTAATAATTATAGTTCTGATTTCAGCATGCCATCTTGTATTTTTTTTGTCTTTATTTTCAATGATTCTTTATGAAGTCCTATGTCAAGTGAAATTCTTAGAAAGTGTGCAAAAATTCATTAAGTATAATGGTAGCAACTCTGTTTGTATATTATTGATATTGATGTGGAAATGATTTCCTTGAAACCTGTCTCCTGTATAGAATGCTAAAGTCAGTGTTTGAATCTAGGTTTAGTTGGGGCAAAGAGTAATGCATTCACTTGCGTTATACTTTTGATGCCAGTACGATTTTTGAAGTCTATTCGATGAAAAAAATGGCACTCTAAGTCCGCAAATGTGAAGGGGTAAAATCATATATTTCATATTGTAACTAATAGTATGATTTTGGTAGAGGGTGGAAAAATAAATCAGATTGTTGGTCCCTAGCGAAGATAAGTGATGGCAATCATGCTTGGTTCTTTTTCAATTTGTATCATCTACAGGGAGTAAAATTTTCCATTTACTATTGCTTATACTTTTGAGTTGAATAAATTAAATGCTGGATGCATTTGCTGTATTTTGTGATTGACATGCATTAGTACCAGGACAAACATTTATTTGTAGAACTATTATTAGGTGTCTTATTTTAAATACAAATTAGATAAACGTCGTTTGGTACTCTTTACATATCCCATTTCTGCTTTAAGACATAGTAGGAATGGCATCAAGTTCTTCATTAAGGCATGTATATCTTTCTTCAAAGGTACATTGATATAAAAACTAGGAAAGTAACCATGTTTAAAACAACCTGACTTGCTTGCTATGATAATAACTACTTTCACAAGTTTGCAAAAATCATTATGGCCCTTTCAATAGTTTTATGATCTTCTTTTCTGCTGTGTTGCACCAATTCTGGAGCAGACTAACAGCCTTTTCGACTGGCTTTTGCTATCAATTGAAAATGCTGCAATTGAATGATCAATGATACGAAATTTTGTAGAATACAAGAAGGCAATAAGTAAGGCTCATGAATTTCTGTTAGAGGTCTTTTTCTCAACATTTCATTTCAAAATTGGACTGAAACAGAAAGGAGAAGGAACTCATTTAATCATTAAAGAATTTCGCTGTTTTTCTTTGCACTTGCTTACTATTTCATGAGATCCAAATGGGCTTAGGTTAAGGGGAAACTAAGGTTTATGTTCTCAAGTTTTATGATGAATTATGATTAGATCTGCTATTCTACAACTTTTCTGGTCAATTGGTCACAGAAAATATATCATCTTGCAACTTTTGCCTAAGTTAAGCACCATGCTGATTGCTGGGCTTCTATGTTGACGGACAAATGTAAGCAAAACATGTTCCATCCTTGTGGCTTTGGTCAGATTCCAAAACTAGAGTTTTGTATCAGCAGTTTGTCAATAGTTCTAGAATAAGCTAGCAACTTTAATTCCATTACATTAAGAAAACCTCATATGAGTATACATTTTGTCAGTTAGATCATTTTTCATATTAATAAAACTTTTTACTCAAAAAGTTGGAAAACTTCGAATAGGATTAGAGTAATATTTTGAAAATATAAAAAGGGTTCATTAGCTTTATTTGTAAGGTCTCCATGCTTAATTTATGATGTCGAGGTACTTCTGTTGATAATGGAACTTTTAAAATTTTAGATGGTTTCTATGGTTGGTTCATGTTACTATTTCGTTCTGCTGCATAAATTTTACTGGTTTCAGAAATGCAGAATTTTGGATAGATCTTTGCTTGCTAGCATTCTTTCTTTATATTATCCTAACAGGAATCTTGATGTGGAACAGAGCTATAAGAAAGGGCAGATTAGTGACCGGGAACTCAAGGATGCAATTTGGAAAAATCTGTTCCAGGGCAAATTAACATACTTGCACTGGAATAAAGGAGAGCCGATGGCCCCAACTATTGGTGAACAGGGAAGTACTCTTCTTGTTCGGAAGATTCCTGCTGCGGTTCCAACGTAATACTAATGTTTTTTCTTAAACAGTTTTTTCTTTTATAATTTTGTTCAAGTGTAAGTGTTTTTCTCTTTTCAAATTGTGCAACATTTTTAGAGTTGTTATTCTTAGTACAGTTTCCTAAAGATTCACTTCCCTGTGAAAATTTTAATCTGCAAGTTCTTACGGCACCTGAGAAATAAACTTATGGTTTCATAACTCTGGTTTGAGTTGGTCCATTACAAATTGTAATGAATCCACTCTAATCATCTAAGTATTTGTGCATGTAGATGTATGTTGACCTAGCCTCTGTGAAAGTTATGCTGTTCGATTAAGTTTAAGTTATGTTACTCATTCTGAACATCAGTTCCCTGACTTCCATCTAATTATATATGTACATGCCATGTGGTTATATTAACAACTTGGATTTCAAGATCAAGCACTCTCTTCACTTCAGCTATTCAATCCACTATAATTTGTAAATATGCATGCACATACAAATGTGTATGTGTACCTGTATGTACATATGTGTGAAGATAACCAGAGATAAAAAGCATGCAGACATGGATCCTCACTCATGAGTCATGATTCAATCAATGTTGTCTAAGCAGGATCTTGTTATGATCCTCTTTTTCTCCTTTCTTTCGATATATCTTTCATATTTAATCTTCTATTTTGTGTATGATTTCAAGGTTTCCTAACTTTATGCATAACTTTTGGACAGTCGAGTTTTTGTTGGAGACGTCGTTGTCTTGAAGGACCCTGACAATTCAGATAACTATCTGGTCAGAAGACTAGCTGCTACTGAAGGATATGAAATGGTGTCTAAGGACGAAAAAGATGAGCCATTTGTTCTTGAAAAGGACCAGTGCTGGGTATTGGCTGACAATGAAAAATTGAAGCCCAAGGTATAAATATTAGTCATACAACTGGTAAAAGTTTTAGTTGCTATTCTTATATAAATCAATAGGCATCATTAAGATTTGCCAAATAGAAAACAGTAATCCAGTTCATAATCTCGGTTCTAAAGGCTGCTTATTAGCTATTACATGCGTATTTCTTTACTATTTGTTAATCCGATTTGTCTGAGTAATGAATAACATTAATTCAAATGTTTATATGGCTTTGGTAGAACCTGATCCATATTCTCCATTTTTCTTTGTTTTCATTTTTCGTCTTTTGAAATGATAGGAAGCTAAGGACAGTCGGTTATTTGGTCCAGTTACCATGAGCGACATAGTAGGCCGAGTCATATATTGTCTGCGAACAGCTGTTGATCATGGTCCTGTTCAGAACAGGTAACTGCTTCATAGTAATTATTTAACTCAAACCATTTGATTTTACATTAGGTGAAAATTTGTTGATTGCTGAAACTTTCATGTTCCTCTAACAGTCATTCCAGCATGCGAAGGGACTCTCCAGTGTTGGAAGTAGAGCTCGATGTGGATGAGATGGTGAAAAACCACAAAGCCTAAACAGTCCTGACCCCTTTACAGTGTAGCTATTGTCTTTATTCCCCTTTTTACTCCTTGGGATCTTTTTAGTTTAACATGAAAGTGAAGGAGAGAAAAATAAAAGACAATGGTATTTGAGTTCATGTGTTATTCGGGATTGCTATTTGTCCTTAAAGAGGGACGGAAATGGTTAAATTTCTTCATATTTTTCCAGCTGAAGAACTCGAAAGGTGGACTGTGTTGAATTTTGAGTTTCAATTACATTAAACAATTGATTTTGAAGGATCTGTAGTTTCTATTTTGAACTTTGAATAGCTTAGCTGAACTCTTGGGAAAAGAAAAGACAGTTAGGACTTACGAGCATCAGTATATTTGGTTGGTCCCTGTTGAGTCTTCCTGCTCTTCATTTGTTCTAATTCTAAGGTTCCAGCGCCAGCCCTCTTTACTCTTTAGATTGCTGGATAGCCTTGGGAGGAAAAATAAAGGTTCAAAGGGAATAAAAAGTCTTTGAATTATTATTAAAAAAATTGTAAAGTTTTTATTTTTGTTATTACAATTAATCAACTCTTTCAACTTTTATTTTCATTTAATTAAGTTTTTATTTAGATGAAAAAGCTAATATCATTAATTTTTTAGCTAATTAAGATAAGATTTTATGTGATATTAATGAAGTAGATAAAAGTCTCTCAAATGATTTAACTAATATATGTCAAAATTTACTAAAATAATTAGTTTTCTTCTCTGTTTTTTTTGTTTTTTTCTCTAATTTTTTTTACTAATTCAATTGTAATTTAGGGTTTGATTGATTAAATTTTATCATATGATTATACTTCATCTATTTAACTGTTCAATTGTGTCAAAATAGAAGATGAAGGACTTAATTTATTGTAATAAAATAGTAAAATATTAAATGATTATTAAATTATAATTCAATGGTATTTTTGACCCTTTAATTTAAAATAAATTATTTTTATTTTTTTACAAATGAGGTCATGGATTGAAAATAAAAAAATGGATTGCATATATTATGATTTGAATTTTAAATTTATTAATTGTTATTTTTTAAAAATAATTATATAAATTAATTAAGTTATATTAAAAATTCAAATAAATTATCTTTTACGTAATAAGTTTGATTGAAAAAAACAAATACAATTTGAAATGTTTAAATGGTTCAAATCCAAAAATTGGGTATCACATAATCTGAAATATTGAAAATTAAAAATAACATATAATTTGAGCTAGTGGAGGCATTAAAATTTCATTTTCCAAGAGGGATTAAGCATTTTAACAGTTCTATAAAACGCAAAACTCAAGCAAAAAATAGTTTTTGTCCTTTAAAATGCAATGGATAAGACTTTGATGAGGTCTGACTTGGCCCAGTTTCATGGCTGATGACCTCTAAGTGTTCTAATCCAGTATTGCCCATAAGCAATATAATTATTACCGAGGAAGTCCCTTATCAATGTTCTGTACAATTTTAGTAGACATAGAAGAAAAACCTCAGTTGAAAACAGAGAAACCCTGGTAAGATAAAAAAGAGAATGCAAAACCGCCACGACGCTCTCTTTTGAAGCTTCCGCAGAACTCCCACACTCATGTCGCATGCACTTCATCTCGTTTCCAATAACGTTCCTGGTAAATATCTCTTCTTTGTTTTTTTTTCTTTGGGGCCGGGGGGGGGGGGGGGGTTGCTTTCTGTTTGGTTGCCAAGAAACCGTGAGAAATGAAATGAAAGGAAATGTTTGCTTTATTCGAGGTTGAGGGCTGTAATGGGTGTTTCTATACATAACCCATTTTTGTTAAATAAAGCTTTGCTTTAGAGGTTTCATACTTTATTGTTTTCTATATTTAACTTATCCCTTGTGCCCCCCCCCCCCCCCTTTTTGTTTAATTTCAGGTTAATCTCCATTAATATTATCCTTAGATTATTTTGACTGTTCATGCTGGCTACCCTAAATTGGTTTAAACATAAGTTATTTAGGTCTGTATTCTTGTGGTTTGGGAGGTTGCTTGATTGGATTTTATTTTTTTTGTTCAATGTTTTAGTTGCATTTCTTTGAAAAGAAAAAAAATTATTGAATTATGCATTTGATTTTAGCATCTCTAATAATTCATTTTCATTTATGATGAGAAAGAGGAGGAGAGACTCATGTCTTGATCTGCTGGTTTCATCATTCCTCCTCTGTTGACATGGGGGTAAATGATTTTTGCGTTTGTCTCACTGGTGGCTCATACAGTGGTATGTTGCTGCTAAGTTTGTAATGGTTGATTGGTGGTTTTGGTTAGTTTCTTTGGAAGCACCCCAAAAGATAAGGCATTGAGGTTTTGTTATCAGCATTAGTTAACAAAATATCGAGCACAGAGGAAAGTCGAGGGCATTGTAATGTACACAACATTTAGAAGAATGCAGTGGCAGTTGGAAACTAAGTCTTCATTAACTAATGTTGAAGTTTTCCTTTTATATTGTCTAGATAAGGAGAACTTTGTTATGTTTCATAGCATCTGCTCAGAAAATAGTTGGTTGCTTTTCATTCTTTTTATGTTCTTTGGCTTATTCTAGGAATTCTCTGACATGATTAGTTTAATAGGCATGCTTTAATTTGTTTTGATAGAAAGCTCAATTTCGTTTTTTCTCCTGTTTAAAGTGATTGCAATTTTTTGAAGATTGATGTTGATTTTGGGATTTATCTAAGGTAGCTACTTGGCTAGATTATTGGTTTATGTTATTTATTGGTTATTTGGATTTTTGGGCAAGTGTGTCATGGGTAAAGAAATAGGCCCAAAAATTATCTTGGTTCTTAAATTATGGTTATTTTCTTAATCTTTCGTTAGTTGATACTGATTTTATTGTAGCTTATGGACCAAGAGACTGCAGATATCTGTCCTGTTCGAGCATTTCTGGAGGAGCAGTGACTCTATCTCCTTGCTCTTCACATAATGACCACCGAATTTGTTCACAGGTGAAGATTAAATCTTTGAAATGTGGTGCCAGGGGAATATCTTTTGTGTGCCGAGCAGGTTCTAGTGGTCAAAAGAGAAACCCTGACTTCTTGAGGCAAAGACATGGGTTTCGAGGGAGGAATAGACAAAATGAAGACAGAGAGAATTTTGAAATGCTTGATGAATCTGAAATGTTACCTTCAAAAAATGGGCCATTACTTTCCTTTTCTGGTTCCACAAAATCTCAAGCCAATGCAGCCCCAGGTCCAAGAGAGAAGGAGATTGTGGAGCTTTTCAGGAAGGTCCAATCTCAACTTCGAGAGAGAGCTGCGGCTAAAGAAGATAAGAAAACTGAAGCCTCTCAGGGAAAAGGTAAAGAGAGTGAAACTGTTGATTCTCTCCTTAAGCTATTGAGGAAACACTCGATTGAACAAGGTAAGAAAAAAAACAGCTTTGACAGCAGCAGTGACGTGAATTTGGATCATCCAGAAGTGAATGGCTCTTCCAATGAAGATAAAAGCTCCAGCTTCTTTGATCCAAATGATACTGTAAGGAGTGAAGCCAAAGAACCTTATGCCTCTATTCTAAGCAGACCCGCATCAAATTTCCGGAGGAAATCACCTGTCCCACAAATGAAATATCAGCCAATTTATTCCAGTGAGGAGACTGTCAGTTCTGTGACACGCGTCAATTCAGATAGGAAGAAACTTTTGAGTTTGGCTGAGTCACCTCCTGCATCCAATCATTTGCCTGAATCGGAGGAGGAACTAGAGTCTGAAACTGAGTTAGAGCTTGAGCCTGAATCAATCTATGAAGATCCGGATGTGTTGGATGAGTTGTCAGAGGATGAATCTTCTGATATTGATGAGGAGGAGGACAGCGAACAGCAAATTGGACATGAAGATTTGAGTGCATTGAAGCTACCAGAACTCCGGTCACTAGCAAAATCTCGAGGTTTGAAGGGATTCTCCAAAATGAAGAAGAGTGATTTGGTGTTGCTGCTGCGAAGGAGCTAAGGCTAGTTAATGGTGAAGCCAAAAACGAAAGATCACATGCATTTTGATAGTTGTGAGATGCCCTTTTATCGTTTTCATACTACTTATTTTCTGTCTGTTGTTTGAATGTGTAACTAACGTGCCAAAAGATCCTTCCAGGAGGCTGGGAAGTAATGGATGTTTAGAATTTAGATATAGTTATGTCAAGTTACCCTTTTGCAACTTTTTGAATGATGTTCGAGAAATCAATTTTCTTTTCGTCTGTACTCTTGACATGCTTCAACACTGGGGTGATTAAATTCAGTTCGAGACTCACTATAATGTTCTGATTTCTATTTGTCCCTTATCTTCTTCATCGGTTTTGCTTAGACAATTAATGGGACCCTTCTTGATATGTTCTGAGCCCGGTGATTGTTGGTAATTGTAAGTTGTAATCGCCTGATCATGTCGAATTTGTCTGACCTCCCGTCAATCTTTTTTCATGCCCCCACCATTGCAGCATCAAAGACCCTTTCCATCTTTTTTCTGAACCTGATAGTATGACCAGCATATGGCTTGCCCACTGCTTCTGGTCCTTGCAATACTAGAACTTTATTGGAGTTTCACATTTGACAGAAATCCAAGACCACTTAAATGTCGAGGTAGAGGAACTTCGAAACTACTGTATTTCTTTTTTTTTTTTTAATAAAAAATGTCGTAACCTGAAAATTAAAAAAAAATACAAAGAAAAAAATTTTAATTTTAAATTTATTAGATATTATTTTTTAACTACGAATATCAAAATTTGAGGGATATTTTTCTTCAGTATCCATCCAATGGATCATACAAGATACAGACATCACATCTTCCAAATTTTATCCTTCCATTCATAAGATCATCTGATAAATGATGATTTGATTTTTACTTTTTATAAAATAAACTTTTTAATAAATATATTTTATAATTTTGTTTTACAGTCATTTTATTAAATATTATATAGTAATTATTTTGAGGATATCAACGTCGGATTGCTATCATCATCCGGAAGTTGAAATTTTAATTCCTTATTTCATTAATTATTAGTTAATTACATTTCATTTGAATGAATGATAAAAATTTTTGTTACATCATCATATTATTTTACAAGATTATTTCATTTTCGAAAAGACACGAGGATTATTCCCTAACCACTAACCTATGAAAATGAAAGTGATCAATTTATCGTAAACATTGCAACAATAAAAAAAAAATATAGGGATAAATGGGGTATTTGAAAATTTATTAAAATTAAGGTCAATCGTAAAAATAAAAATACGTGATGTAAAAATATTTAAAATTATAATTTAATATAAATTTTTTTCTTACTTTTAATACAACCATTTTAAAGGTATAAAATTTAGTTTATTATTATTGAATAGGAATCATAGTACATTACATTTTCTTTGTAATAATCTTGTTGGATTTTATTTTTTTAAGTATGTTGAATTTTATTGTTAAATATAATTAAAAAAGTTTTTAAAATATAAAATATAATAAAAAAGTTAAAAAGTAAAAAGTAAAAGGTAAAAAAAAAAAAAACACAACCCTTTAGCCGTTGACTTGTCTTTCTTTTTGTTTCACCTAATCTTGATTAAATACTAATCCTAATTGATTTCAAGTCTCCCCCACTCTTAATCAATTTTCTCCTCGTAATCCAACAAATCTTCAACCAAACAGGGCCCCACCCAATTTACTTACCCAGTTTACTCGCTCTTTTCTTTCCGTTCCTGTATTTTACCCTTTTGTTTTTCCAGTTCTATTTCTTGCTCCTCTCTCTCATGCAGGCTGCAGCTTTGCCGAGGAAAAAAAAAAGAGCAGAGCTTGAATGTTTGATGCTTAAAGGTTGAATATTTTATTATTTTCATTAGAGTTTTTACGTTGCTCAAATGTCCATCAAGATCTGTGCTTTCTTTGTTTCACCAGCTTAAACCCACTTCAACAAAGAGGTATGCTTTCAATGTTAAAAAGTTGCTTCCCCTGTAGGTTTAAATGTTGATTTCTCAATAGATTTTTCATTTTTTGTGTAATATTTTGGTGGGTTTTTAATCATAAGAAGTGCTGGTGCTGTTTTGAATTGGATTTAAGCACTGGAAATACTCTGCTTTCATGTGAATTTTCTTTTGGGGGTTTCTCAAGTGTGGATGGTTTCTGAATTATGTTTCTAATAGATTGATGATAAGAAAAAAAAAAAAAAAACCTTTTTTTTCTTGGTTCAGTGAATTTACATAATATCCTTTTTTGGGTCGCCAAAAACTAAGTTGAAGAAGATGGAATTTTGGATCTTATGGTAATTCTGTTGAACTAAGCTTTTGATGTTGTTGGACTTCAAACTCTTATCAAGCTTTTCATCATTGAAGTTTAAGAATTCTTTAACTTTGTCTCTTTCACTCTCTTAAGAAACAATGGAGGTCTATCATTTATGGAGGTGTATATTAGACATTTAGACTTTACACGTTTATCAAGCTTCTTCACTACCAAATAAACTATGAAAATATTTTCATATAAAACCTGCAGTAGCTTCTTTTCTTTTGCTCTCCAAGATCACAATGGTTGCCTGTGTTTGTTTCTCATAGAAACCATTAGTCAAACCCCTCTTTTACTCACCAAGCTACTATTAATTTGTGGAAACCTGGTCTTATCTTTTATTTTCTTTTATATTACGTTTTTTTTGGAAAGCTACTCTAACTTTTCCTTGGAACATATGGGACAAAGTCAACATGGAAAATGCCATGGAATTAGTCAATAATATATTTTCAGCAACAATAGATGTGTGTTCCTTCCATAGGCAAATTAGTCAAAAAAAAACGTTTTGCTTACACTGAATTTTTTAAATTCTGATATTTTATTTTTAAAGTGGAAATTTAGTCAAGCGGGTTTCCTTAGATTGTGGAAAAAATAAAGTTCCACTGCATTGGTGAATAAATAACACTGACAAAGATGAAAACTTAAGTTTTATCAAGAGAGCACTCTTCTACTTTATGAAAAGATTTTGCCTGAAAAGTTTTTATACTGTTTTCAATTATAAGTATTTATTTTTAATTCTGATACGCTGCATTAAACACAGGTCAGATGGACACAACCTCTGTGAGATGTCTTATCAACAGTATTTCTCGATTTATTCATCTGGTATCATGCCAGACAATAAAAGCTTTTCCTATTGAAAAGGATTATAGGAATATGATTGTTGTTTTAAAACTTTTAAAACCGCTGCTTGATGATGTTAATGATTGCGAGATACCTTCAGATGAAATTCTATATAAAGAGTGTGAAGAGTTAGACATGCTTGTTAATGAGGCTCGAGAATTCATGGAGAGCTGGTGTCCTAAGATGAGCAAAATCCACAGTGTAAGTCTAATTTTAATCTTTACTCAATAGATTTTCACTTTGGTGAAATTGTAACTAAAAAAAATGGTGCTAGAAACAAGGATTTCCTTCCAGTTGATTGTCTGTGTTTTTTGGTTTTCATTTTAGTGGCATTGCTTCAAATATTATCTGTTGCAATACCAGTGTTCTTTGAGCATATTCTAGTTTTTAGTCATCATGTTTTTTCTATTATTCATGTTTGGGAAACCATTTTCCATCAATTCAGTCCAATTTGGATGCTGTTTGGATAGGAACCAAAGAGCACCTACAATAGATTTTAGATTTGTATTGATTAAACCATTGATAGGATGGATGCCCAGTCTCTTTAATGCTAGGCATAATGACTATAAGGATCTAACAAATTTGCCTGATAACCGAGATTCTGTGAAGTTTCAGTTAATTTGTAGAATATTATAGTTTATAGAAGAAAACTTGAATGATACGACTGCAAATGTAAACCGGTTTGTTATAGATAGTGAGAAAATCTAATTCTTGCAAATGTAACAGTCAAATTTAACGGTAATAAGGACAGTTGCAAGAAAGTCATTTCGTTTCTCATTTTTTTTTCTTGCAATGAAATGTAGCATTTGGTAAAATGAATAAGTAATGTGCCAGCTATCCTAATTGGTATAGTTCTTTGACGGTATACCATGGACCTGATTCAAAAAATGCCTTCATCATGGGGAGGATTGGGGGTTGGGGGGAAGGGAAGGGCCGAAGAGGAGGACTTTCACTTATTGTGTGGCCGGTCCCCCAAAAGAAAAAGAAGCTTGAATATTGGATGTTGGGTTGTGTTATGCATACCTTTCTTTCTTGAGTAAAAGAACTTGGATTTTCATGCTTCTATTGCTATCATATTTCTTTATTTATATGTTTTAAAAACATTTACAGGTTCTTCAGAGTGAACCTTTTCTGATAAAAATGCAAAGCTCTTCACTTCAGATATGTCACATATTATATAGATCATTGCAGTCATCACCATCCAACTCAAATATAACCAGTGTGCAGGTATGAAAAAATCAAATTTGTTTCTTTATTCTATGTTTGGATGACAAAAATGCTATTTGTTTTCTTTCTACAAATGTTCTTTTCCTTTTAGAAATTGTTAAGGCAGCTGGATGGCAACTTCTATTACTTTATCAGTGCTGAGTTGGCTTTGAGTAGTGAGACTGATTGATGTTCAACTGTTTCAGCACTGTATGCGGGAAATTGAATGTCTGAAGCAGGAGAGACTATCAGAAAATATGGGAGAAGCTTTGAGAAGTCAAAGAGATGATGCTAGTCCCGGCACTGATGTTCTGATCAAAGTTATCAAATCACTAAACTTGACATCAAACCAGGAATTGTTAAAAGAAACTGTGGCTGTGGAAAAAGAGAGAATGAACGCGCAAGTCAATAATGCGAAAGGGAAATTAGATCAAATCAATCAGGTTGTGGATCTCATCTCCCATATACATGATTATATGCTTAAAATTGAGCGCTTTGAATCCTCAAGTGGCATTCTGATACCACCATACTTCCTTTGTCCCCTATCGTTGGAACTTATGCTGGATCCTGTTATTGTGGCTTCTGGGCAAACTTATGACAGGACTTCCATCCAAAAGTGGCTTGATAGTGGACTGACCAATTGCCCAATGACCCGTCAGACACTCACACATGCAAATCTCATTCCAAATTACATGGTCAAAGCTATGGTAGCAAGGTGGTGTGAGGAAAATAAATTACAACTTTCCAATAACACTGGGCATACAAAACTTGTCTCAATCTTTTCTCCTTCAAATCATGTATCTTCTCAAGATTTAACCCATACTGATAGTTTCCATTGCTTTGCAAACAGTAGTAGTTCCACATCAAGATCATCTGTTGAAGTTGGAAATGGTTTAGAGAAGCAGAAGATTGACATCCCATCTAGATTTAACGGAGAATGCAATGCATGCCAAAGCAGGGAGATTGACAAGTATGACCACCAATCCCCTGATCAGTCATATGCTCACAGCAGGACTGAATCAGCCTCGAGTGAAATTTCCAGTATTGATTATGCCCCTCCTGCTTCAAATGACTTTTTAAGGAGGTGGAAGAAACATGAAACGAATGAGTTAGTTGAAATTTCACCTGGGGGCTTTGGAACTTTTCCTTCAACAAATGAATCTGGATTTTCTCCCTGGATAACGGGAAAACAGTTGCAGCTCTCTGAAACAAAAATTGAAGAGGCAGTCAATGGAAACCATGATTATAACAGAGCATACTCCATTTCATTTTCTGGGTCAGGGTATGATGATTTGACCACAAGTTCCCATGTGAAGAGATTAGTAGACAACCTTCAAAGCCTATCAAATGAAGTCCAAACTACAGCTGCTGCAGAATTGCGCCTTCTTGCAAAAAACAATATGGACAATCGTATAATTATAGGTAGCTGTGGTGCTATTGCACCATTATTTTCTCTGTTATACTCAGAAGTAAAGCTAACCCAAGAGCATGCTGTTACAGCCCTTTTAAATCTCTCAATTAATGAAGATAATAAGGCTATGATTGCAAAATCTGGAGCAATAGAGCCACTGATTCATGTTTTAAAGTCTGGAAATGATGGAGCCAAAGAAAATTCTGCGGCAGCTTTGTTCAGTCTTTCTGTCTTGGAAGATTTCAAGGCAAAGATTGGACGTTCTGGTGCTGTCAAAGCCTTGGTGAATCTTCTGGGCTCTGGAACATTGAGAGGAAAAAAAGATGCTGCTACTGCTTTATTTAACTTATCAATCTTTCATGAAAATAAGGCGCGTATAGTTCAAGCAGGTGCGGTAAAATACCTTATTGACTTAATGGATCCTGATAGTGGGATGGTTGACAAGGCAGTTGCTCTTCTCTCGAACCTTTCAACAATTGGGGAAGGGCGCTTGGCAATTGTACGAGAAGGCGGTATCCCAGTACTAGTTGAAGTTGTTGAATCAGGATCACGGAGGGGTAAGGAAAATGCTGCCTCTGTATTGCTGCAACTATGCCTTAATAGTCCTAAGTTCTGTACCCTGGTTTTGCAAGAAGGGGTTGTGCCACCCCTTGTCGCATTGTCTCAGTCTGGCACACCAAGAGCAAAGGAAAAGGTATGCAGCTTAGTGTTTTTCTCTTCTTCTGTTATGGTGCTACAGCCCTTGCATTTTCTGCTCCTATATCTGGGATCTCAATGTTCTAAGTCATATTGTGATTATATTCCTTATATATTGTTGGTGTCATTTCACCATTAAAGTTGAATTGTAATTATATTGCTTTTATTTTGTGTAGTGAACACTATTGAGGGGTTCTACTACTTGTTCAATTATTTATCAGAAATTAGACCTAGCATTTTGATTCTTATTGTAACTAAATTATAATGGTTGGGAAAAATCTTGTCATGTTTCCAAAACCTGTTGTGGAAAGTAGGGACATCCAGAAAGGCATGAGGTTTTCTTGTAAAGCTCATTAAACCTTAAAATTGGTGATTACTTATTAATTGCATGTTTGATTACTTTTGAATCTAAAGAAATTTTCTGGATGAACATGAGATAGTACATGATATTTTTTTTTTATTGTTGCAGGCACAACAGCTTCTCAGTCACTTCCGGAATCAGAGAGAAGGTGCCACGGGGAAGGGCAAGACATGAAAGCAGACAAATTTTGTTACAATTTTCTTTTCTGATTTTTTTATCCTACTCCATGTAAGTTGTTCTCCCTCAATTGGTTCTTTTGGAGCTCTCTTCTCATACCTTCTTTAGCTCTCCAGCTATATGCATTAGCATTGTGAACCTTATTCTTTGTTTCCTTTTAATCCCTTTCTTAAAAGGCGGCTAGGGGGTGGGGAAATAGGGCAAGCTGTCCCAGGAAGTGGTGGGTTGTCTATAGTTTGCTGCGTAATTTTCCTTATAACTTAGCTTGCCAATTGCCATAGTATTGAGTGTAGCTTTTCATTTTGTTTTAGTTTATGTGACAACAGATTTATTTCTTATTTTTGTAGATATATTGTACATATGCCATCAAATTGTTGCTCAAATTAAACGATAATACAAAGCTCCATGCTTGTTTCTGCACTTCTGAAATGATAACCCGTTGTTTTCCGTTGTGTTTGACACCTGAAACTTGCAGAGCATAGTCCTACTCCAACAGGTATCACTGTTCAGAAAAAGACAGTACCCAAGGCAGGCCCTTGCCCACTCATGTTATGCATGGGCCCAAATTACACAACAGCTTGTATTTTGATTAACAATACTTGAGTCCTTGTAGTTGCTGTTCCCTGTGTTATAGATGTCCTTTCACCCTCTGCTTCTCACTGATCTCTGGGTGTGATCATTTCTTATTCATGAATCTCTTACTTTGATCCCCCCATTGACCTTTCGATGAGTCTTCTTTCGTGTCAAACGTTAGAAACTTGAGATCCGGACCTCACAGATTCATACTTGGATGAAAAAATATCCACAGGATGCAAGATGTAAATTCATACACTCTGAATTCAAAACCCTACTTTAGACGTAAAATCATTAGCATTCAGGCCGGCTCTAGCTAAACTATTCCTACCCCCAAACAGGAATCATCAAAGCATGAGTGAGCTGTTGATAAAAACATTAAAATGTTTGAGAAAACGATAAAAGCATGAGTGAGCTATCAATTATTAATCACTAAGCGTTATATTGATATGAATTCAAATTTTAATTTAATTGATTCAAATAATTATATTTTAAAAATAAAATATTTAAGAAATATGAAGTTCAAACCTCGGTATTTAAAATCTTTTTCCTATTCTCAAACAGTAGCGGCCTGTGTCGTGATAAAAAATAAATTTTGGTCCCCTCTCATCAATTATATATATAATAACTTACTAACAGAGCTAGTGTACAGATATTTATATCCTCTTAAAGCAACGTTTCAATAACTTGCAGTACCAAGAAAAAAATTGATAAATTTATATCTCCTTGAATATAGTATTATTAAATAATTTTTTTTCTTTATGAGTAGGACTTGAATTAAAAACTTCACATTCACCTAAAAATATTTGTTTGATTGTTTATTTATAAAAGGCTGGTTATAAGTTAGTGGGCCGATTTACATATCATTAATTTTTCCCTGATAAAAAATTCATGGTTTGTATATATATCCCAAGAAATCTGAATAATTTCTTTGTTTTTCAAGTACAATAATATTTAAAAAATTAATTCTCATTATTTTCATTTTTTGAAGTTGTATACAATGATTTATTGCAATCAACTTGACCTCAAACATTTATTTTTAAATAATAGAAATTTTAAAATTTTTTTTTAATTGAATCTTTGATTGGATAGAAATGAATGTTGACAGTAAATTAATTTTTGTTTAAAAAACTCAAAATAAATATTTAAAACTTTACTTAATTACAACAAAACGATATAACTTTAATGATTATTTAATTTTAGTTTAAAGGGTTTTTTTTTTATACTTATGCCTAATTAATTCATTGATGAATTACATCATGACAAGAAACTTTTACCATAGAAAATTTGAGTTTATGGATACATTTAGTGTGATTAAATATTATATTTTGCATAAAAAAATGGCACTTGATTGAATTATCATCTAAATGCCTAGGTAAATATAGAGTTATAAGGCATAAGCTCCTAGGTTTCTTGAAAATTCATTATTTTACTTAAAAGAAAATATAATAACAAAAATACATAACTCTAGATTTCTTTTTTTGTTATATAAAATTCAGGTAAATAGGCTGTTCAACTTCTCAGATCGGAATAAGATATGTCATACGTGACAGCTTAAGATAAATGATTACAAACCATGCATTCGAGATGATTTCAACAAATGATTACTAATAAAATTCAAATATGCATTCTAGAATTATTTTTAAGAGGTGAGTGCTAAATTTTTGACAAGGGAAGAAAGTGTGTGGGTATTTTTTACAAGAACAAAGCAACGGAGAATGTGCATGTCACAGGCTACTACTAATTAAATAAAATAATTTTATCACCAAACATTATTTTATTCTTTAAATACTAATTCTTAAGGCAAAGATTTCACTGACAAAAATGCTAGTGAAAAACTATAGTTACATTTGTCTTGTTTCTTTAAAATTACATTTTAAAATTTTGGATTTCAACAAATCAGAAAATTATTTTATTAATTATTTAATGAGTAAATAAAGATTTTGTTAAGATATGAATAATTTCTAACCACTTGATTTACTTAAAGTTAAATACTATATAATAATATGAACATAAGAATAAAAATATCTTTTTTAAACAATAAAAAAGTTTTAAATTTTATTCCATAAATTTTTTGTTCAAATTAATTTAAATAAATTTATTTATTTCAAAATTCCTTGCGACTTAAGCCAATATCTATTAGTGCATGTGAAGGAATATTAAGTGCTCACTTTCTTTTGTCCTATCTGCCCATATTTTGGTTAGGAGGGTTGAAGAAGAATTTTCATTAGCATTAGCATGAATATGCCATGTTGGTCTTTTTTTTTTTTTTTTGTCATAATAAAAAAAGCTGCAAGTACTAAGATTATAATTGGTGTATAAGATTACGATAAAATATAATAAAATAATATTATAAATAAAATAAAATTAAATAATATTATTTTTTTTGTTTGATATATAAAAAGATAAGATATAATAATTTATTTATTTATCAAAATTATCTTTTGTTGAAGTTTATATAATTTAAATTATTAATATAATTTTTAAAAATATAATTAAATATATAAATTTAATCATATGGATTAAAAATAACCATTTTCACTTGAGAAGGATTAAATATTTTTTTGCTAAAAATATATTAATCCTCCTTATAATCTTTATCTCTTTCTTTATATACAAATCTAATATAATATAAAATAATTATTATCTTATGTCATCAATAATTTTATATATCAAATATAACCTAAATAATTTAATTCATTTTTAGGCTTTCAATAATGGTGAATATGTGTGTCTTAACTATCTTAGTTCCTGTTTAACCTGTCCCCCTTAAGGACATTAAAAATATAAGTGGAGCCATTGTAAAGGTCAGTTGACTGCTCATAAAAAATTTAGTTTACAAATTTTCCAACCCACCTATTATCTATTGGATATAATCATATCTATTAACTACAAGCAATCCACTATTTTCTTCTAATTTAACATCACAGTTTATTATCATGCCTTTATTTGGTATTGTAACATTTTAAATATGATGCAATATGTCATGCGTCCATTTGCCATCACATCCAAAGTTGTGATATATGTAACGCAAAATTGCCGGGTGATATGAATTCAAAACTTAGTTCGATTTATTTGTATAATTATTTTTTTAAAAAATTTTAATATATCTAAAATTTAAATTTTAAATCAAATATACACGAGCTTAAAATATAAAACTTGTACACTTAAATGCACGAGTTAAATTTAAAGATAAAAACATTTTATTATCGTAAAAATATCTTATTTTAATAAAAAAAATTATATACAAAGACTAAAATAACTAATGAAATAATTTTTTTAAATATGATCGTTTTATAAATTCAAGATTTAATTCAATCAATGTAGTCACTTCTTTTAAATTTTTTTTTTAAGATTGAATTTCAGTTTCTAACATTAACAACTTTTCATTCCTTCAATGTTCTCAAACCTCTAACTTCTTAGGTTATGGGACTCCTCAGTTATTGGAAGCATTTGCGTTTTTACCTAACAGAAAAGAAAGAATAAATTAAGCCGAACCATAAAATTAATCAGTTATTTAATATATCAGTATATATTAAATTTGGACATAAATTTTTTTTGTCTGGTGGAGAGGGAGCCTAACTTACCAATATTTACAAGTATTTGCTAGTACAATAATAGAAACAAATTTATTTCCGAGAGAGAGCTTTGTTTTGTTTTTTATATAAAAGAAGTGGTGATTTAAAAGTAAAAAAAAAAAAAAAAAAAAAAAGAAATTTTAAATTTTAAATATTAAATAAATTAAATATATTTTTAAATTAATTATATAAATTAATTGAACTAAATTTAAAATCGATACCCTTATTTTGTTGTGCAATGTTCCAAGCGACCGATCTTTAATGCGCTTCATAAATGTAGCCTTACAACCTATAACAGCTTTGATTTAATGCAATTTATATGAGGCTGCTCCAATGTCCTTCCGATTTTGTTAATTTCAGTAGTGTTTCTTAAATACTTGTTTGATAGGAAATATTTAAGAAAAAAACAAAAAGATAACGGTCAGAAAAATTTTAATTTAATGATTAAGTTACTAAAATAGAAAATTAATTATAAATTTTAATCATTAAATTAACAAGATTTTCATTTTTATTCTTTTTGATCCTTTCTATCAAGTAAGGCCAAAATCTTACAATACATATGATTTGAACTTAAATTTTTTTTAAATAATTATATATAGTCACCATCATACTATATTTTATCTTATTTGATTTTTTTTTTTTTTGAAGAATTTGCTATCTAATAGTAATACACTGACTATCCATATCCTCATTTTTGCTTGGAATCAATGTGTAAAATCACGTAATCCCATAAAGTTTGAAATTTTTTCTTGCTATGGCAATCTTTATGATTTTAGAAGCAGATGATCAGGAAAAAAGTATGAACTGCATATATCAAATATAAAACGAACCACAAATAATATGTTTTAAAACATTAATCAATGTAGGTTCATTGATATTATAATTCCAAAACAAACCCTTCAACTTTTTTGGTTTATGTTTATAAACCATATAGGTTATTGTTGATTTTGGTGGGTTTTAGTGAATTTGCTTTTGGACCAATTTACTCCAAAGGCCCAATAATTAATACTAATCCTCAACAATTCTATTTTAATTACCTTATTTTTTTGAGACATATCCCCCAATCAAATCACATTGAGAGGAAATAATTAAAGATTCCTTATATATATTTTTAAAATTAATTTATTCTTAGCCTCGATTCATATTTATTTAAATGAAAAATATATTATATACAAAAATATTTTTAAATTTATAATTTTTAAAATTTTGATTAACATACGTAATTAATATTTTTAAAATTTTTTAATTTATATAAAAAATTCAAATACCTATTATCGATTCAAACATGCAATCTTTGTTTAATCATACTCCAATAATTAAACCGTATATCATAGGCTAATATCTTTGTTAAGCAAATTTTTTGAGAGGTTTCCTTACTATTAATTTGATAACAGCAAATCGGTTATCATTAATTCAAGAGATGGATTAATTAGCAGAATATATATATAAATGTATTTTACAAAAAAAAAGAAAAGAAAAAAAAAAACCCACTGGCCATTTCTGAAATAAATTCAATAAAAAAGAGAAAGAAAATGGGGATTTGTAACTTTTTGAGGAGAACTTATATGAATTATTTTCAGAGTATTTATAAGAGAGAATTGGCCCAACGCAGGTGAAAGAAAATAGAAGGTTTTATTTTTTAGAAAAAAAAAAAAAAAAAGAAAAATTGGGCAAAGGGTATTGTGGTCAATGAAGAAGGAACTGTCATTCCAAACTACAGGGTTTGAAGAAACTACTACCCTTGAAAAACCTTTTCCTGTCTCCATCAGAACCTACTGCCCATCACTCTTTTCCTTTTTGCATTTAATTTCCACCACCCCTAGCCGGAGCTCTCCCAAGAATGTTATCACAATGATACAAACCCATTAACAAAGAAAAATAGCTCTCTTTGTTCGTCCTTTTATAGCAAAAATATCCAAATCCATTTACTAATAATAGATTTCAGAAAAACTAAATTCTGCTGCTGCTACAAAAACAACACCTCAAGGTTTTCAAGGTTTTCAAGGTTTTCTAGTATTGTTCCAAACAAAGAAAAAACTCTGCCAAAACTGTCTATTCCCATTATCTCTGCTAGTATTTCAAACTCCAAAATCTTCTTTTGGCTGCTCTTTTCACTTCCATTCTAGCTCCTCAAAAATGGAAATTTGTGTTTAATATCAATCAATAAGATCAACAGGGTTTTTCCTTCTTTATTATTATTGTTAATTTTTTTTTATTTTTTGTTCTCTTCTTGACTGTTTTGTTTTTCATATCAACAGCGACATGTGCCTGAAAAGTAGACTTATCTGCTAGCTAGCTGAAAGAATTATAACAAGCCACCAAAGTTTCAGTTCTTTCACTTGTCTACATTTCAACTTCGATCTCTCTCTCTATTTCTTTCTTTTTTCTTTGTTAGGACTGTCTTATGGTCACTCAAAAAAGGGTTTTTATCATCACCCCACAAGGAAGGGAAACCCTAGTTCGGATCGGTAGTTGTTGAAAGAAAGGGCAAAAGAAGAGAAGCATCACATCAGGACCACACCATCACGGCAAAGACCAACACACCTTTTTTTTATATTCCTAATTTGATAAAATTCGAGAAGAGTTTTATAGTTGTAGACGAGACCTATTAAAAACTGTGCTCTCTCCATGGATTCAATTCGAAAAATGGATAGCTTCAACTCCGGAAACGCCACCCTTATCAACGTAAGCAATAAGGGTGCCACTACGCTTGCATCCTCGTCTTCTTCAACCTCAAGCCGCTACGAGAACCAAAAGCGCCGTGACTGGAACACCTTTGGGCAGTACCTGAAGAATCATAGGCCTCCACTTTCCCTCTCCAGGTGTAGTGGAGCTAACGTCATGGAATTCCTTCGCTACCTTGACCAATTTGGCAAAACCAAAGTCCACAGCCCGATCTGCCCCTTCTATGGCCACCCAAACCCTCCGGCCCCTTGCCCATGCCCACTCCGTCAAGCCTGGGGTAGCCTCGATGCTCTCATCGGACGCCTCCGAGCTGCCTTTGAAGAAAATGGAGGAAAACCTGAAACAAATCCATTTGGGGCACGAGCTGTGAGGCTTTATCTTCGTGAGGTTCGTGATTTGCAGTCAAAAGCACGAGGGATTAGCTATGAGAAGAAGAAGAAGCGTAAGCGACCACTAGCTCAACAAATTCCCACTCTCTCACTTCCACCACCACCACCAGGTGCAAGTTAAATATGCATCAGCAAAACCCCATATGCAAGCAGTTTACATGTGACCAAATGTTTCTCCCTGATTGCTACTTGCTTGATCTTTGTGGGGTATTTTCTTTATTTTTGCCATCTGTTATAGTATATTTTTTAGGGTAGTATTACCTTTCTATGCTTTCTGTTTGCTGCTGGAGTGGTGAAAACTGTTAATGCTTTAGAGATTTGGGGATTCGTTGAATCTCCTTTTGATGCAAACAGTGTTAGTATCCACAGTATTCGACTAGTAGCAGTAGTAGTAGCAGTACTAAACAAAGTCATTCTAGGAGTGATTATTGTACTAGCAGTTTTTGCCTAAGTGGAACTGAGAGCATCTAGTTGCTCATGGTTTTTATGTACCCTGAACATTCATGTATGCAAAACCATATATATTAGCAGTTTATCTGTCTTCATCTCTCTGTATCTCTCTTGCCATTAAGCCCGTTTTCTTTCCAATTCTTTAATGGGTGTATTGGCAATTCCGCTCACTGCTGTTAAAAGAGCTGGAAAGAACTTTACATGAGGATCATGTGTCAGATTTGTCTAGCACAAATGCACTATAGTTGTTTAATGGCTTTGTTGCAGACGGTAGTCTGTTCTCACCTCTAGCTCTGCCAGTCGTTGTTTTTCTGACTTCCCCTTTCTCTCCTCTCTCTTTTGTGTTGACACTTTTAATCTTACTGCTTTACCGTCTGGAAATTAATCAATACAAAGAACAACATCAATTTAAAAAAATTTTTAAGCCAAAATTTATTAAATCAATAGAAAAATTACAACGCTAGCATTAGCTAATAGTGTTTCAGTACAAACGCAAATTAAGCAACTAAGATCATCTGAATCGTGGACATGCAATGAAAGAACACCCCAGCAGTTAAATACTACATAAAAAAAAAAGAGCAAAATTACACATTTTAACACAAACTCTTTCAAACATAACCATAAAGAACAAATTACAATTTCTAATTTCACAATCCACCACGGAACCATAAATAAGGAGCAAAGATTAATAACATATTACATGCCCTTAAAGATTGATCTTAATTAGTATAGAATACTTACTTAAAACATCGTTGTCTTCCCTATTTATTCTGTGATTTTGATATCGAAAGTTCTTCACTGGCCGGAAAATGGTCAACTATAATATATACATGTGTTGATTTACCAGAGCTAGCTACTCATTGTGCTGTCATTTCGATGTAGAAAATATGGCAGACAAGCACTTTCAATTAACTAGATTTCCATTGTATATATATATATATATATATATATATGATGTGATACTTTAATTATAAATATTATAACACCTTAATCGATACATACTCAAGTTGTGGGTTTCATCTTCCACTTCCCTTATTTGTCATGTCAGTTTGTGATTTGTCTGTCAACCGTCCAGAAAGAGGAAAGTATTCGATCAGCAAAATTAATTACACTTATCGACCAAAAAAATATTAATTACACTCACACGAGCCTTTCAGCAGAGAAATGTGTAATTTTCAGGTACGAAATTAGACTTGAATGAGGAGAATAGATTTCTTGGTCCTTCCAAAACATTGTCTCAATTAGGAATTCTTATATATATACTTCAGAGTTAAAGAAAATACACCCAACATAAAATGATGAAATAGGTGTATATATATATATATATATATCAAAGAAACAAATATGTATAAAGATATGGGAGGGGGAATTTTCTTAATCAATTTGGCCGACAGGACATCTATGATTGCCCAAAGGTTGGGTCATCATTAAACATTTGGCTTTAAAGAATAATTGAGACATCCCCTTTATGTTTTAAGTGAAAAAAGTTCACCTAATGGGAGTGTTTTAGCCAATAAAGGTAGAACTAATGCTACTAATTTTGGATTAACATAGGATATATAGATGCTAAAGGACCTTCTTCGTCCTTTTAAAGAGAGCTCAAGATGATTTATTAAAATTTAATTTAATTAATTTACGTAATCATTCTTATAATATTCAACGTGTTTGTATTTAAATCTTACTATTTACAATTTTTCTTTCTTCTATTTTCACGCTAAGACCTTTCTTTATAATAAAAAGAGTTATTGTCTACACTAAATATATATGTAATTAGGTATAAATATATATGTTTTAAATTCTACAAATAGGGACCCTTTGTGAGAAAAAAAAAGATTAAGAAAGCATTACCTTTATGATGTCATCATATATACGTATCCATAGGATTTTGTTGGAAAAGGTTAGTAATTTAATTACGAAAGTTGATCATTCGAAGATAGGAAATGACTAAGTTGGATTCAAGTGTACGACACAGTTAAGCTTTTTTTATTTCCCTTCACATTACTTGTTCATAATAAGCATTCAAGAAATTTTGGTTTTCATTTGGAGGTGGATGCTTGATGGTCCTTTTTTTTCTCCTTCCTCTTCCTCCTAAGTTTCTTTATGAATAATGAACTTGGCTGAATAGTTTGTTAGCACACTTGTGAAATTTGATTTTCTCAAACATATAGTGAAATCTACTTAATTATTTCTCTATTCAACATTTTTTCAACCAAATTATGCATGCATGTATTGTACATCAAAGGCCTACTCCATCATGCTTTGCAATTGCATCAAAGATTTTATTTTTCCGACCATCTGCACTTGTGGAATCACTGATTGAAATTTATTTGATGGCCATTTTTTAAGAGATAAAAGTTTTCGTGTCAGTCGAAAATCATTATATATATATATATATATATATATAGATATAAGTTCTATATAATATGGTTTCCAGTTTCCATTTTCACATTACAATGCTATCTCTATGTTGAATATTAACTTGATTGGTTTTTAGTGTTGAATAGATATACATCTTTAAAAGAATAAAATCTAAACCTGAAATTTAATTTAATTAATCCATATAATTATCTTTAAAAAATAATATTCAATAGATTTAGAATTCAAATCTCTCAGCTCCTATAACCCTTTTCTTTATTCTTAGGTTAACGATCTTTTTTACATAAAAAAATAAAATCCAAATTGTTTAGACATGAAATAAAATTTTTTTATAGGCATATTAGTATTTCTCTAGCTATTATGTATATGTCCATGAATGCAATGCGGCTTATTTGAAATGTAAGAAACTATTTATATCTCTTCTTGTGCCAAATGTTGGCTAGAGTTGTGTAGTGACAAAAGAGTGAACATGAAAGATACAGTTTCCATGACCATATTTAGCTCGGAAGATTAATTACTATAAATTTTTTCTCCATTTTATTGGGGCGCAGAAATAGACTCATGACTCAATGGTTTATTCTTTATTGTTCACTTGGAAAGACTAGTTCCTAAAAAGAACTTACATTGGATTTATAAGAAGATTGCTGGTGGGAATTGAACTTAGATCTTCAAGTAAAGTATTTAATTCTTACCAATTCAACCAACCCCGTTAGTTACTCTTTTCCACTTTCACTATTATAAATTAGATGGTTATGTTGGACATCAATATATCTTCCCTTTATATCTTTGTCAATAACTTGTTGATGCAATATCAGAACTAGTAGCTCCAAGTGCAATGGTGAAGAATTGAAGATGGCAGCTTCAAGAATCTTTTTGGAATTAATGACTAGAAATAGGTTAATGATAATTTCTATCAACCACTAAATCTGCTACTTGGTCTACGTATTTGAAATCACCACCCTAATATTAGTGAAATCGAGTGCGTTACCACCTAAAATAAGCTAGCTAGTATTTCGTCCAATAAGCAATTCATGTGGTGCTTGCAATGCCAACAGGCAAAGGTGTCGAAATCAAAAGACTTGAAAACAAAATTGCGAAAGAGGGATGTGAAAGTCAGATATATAGAGCCGAAAGGGAGTTGTGTTTGAGTGGATTGGGTTCTTGTTAAATTCTTGCCAACATTAATTTGTTGTTTCGTACATAGTTAAGCTATGAGGTAAAAGCTAATAGCAACCAATGATGAAGTTACAGCTTTTCCCTTAATAAGCATGCACTTCATACAGGAAAATGAGACAGATTGTTTTTTTTCTTTTGCAAGAAATACTGTTGCTATCATGAGGTTCATATAGAATGTGATGTTCATTGAGGTTCATATCAATTTTTTTTTGCAAAGTATATCAAATAGATTTAAATTTCAAAGGTTTATATTGAACAAAATTACATGTATATAAGCAAAGACAATACTTTCCTTAGCAAATATGGGTCCTTGGCAAATCTGTCCCTTTTTTTCAAACTAGAACATCATAGTAATAAACAAAGTTAAGAGTTTTAAACAGGCACAAGTAGTCTAGATCAGCTAGCAAGATTTAGAATCTACATGCTTAAATTGTTGGACTTGCCCTTGTATTGAAGCAAAAGACAATACTTTTGTTGTCAATCCCTGCTTGTAACAATGCAAAATCCCACTACCATAATGCTAAGGAAAAGAAATGTAAGAAATATGATGGAAAGATTAGCATTTTTCCTTTTCCTTTATATCATATAACTTAAATTAACAATTTTATTTATAATTTTATCCTTAATCTTTTCTTTCTTTATATATATATTTTTATCTTTGTACCAAACACAATAATAGCATTTTTTTTTATATCCTGCACCTTGAATTAATAATTATATATATAATATATATATATATATTGTGGCCTGGGGGGAATGCATGCTTCCAGATTTTCCAGCTCTTTGATAAAGACCTTTTGGCGTGAAAGGCGAAATTGACATCATAAATCTGTCTAAAAATTGTGTCTACATCTCAATTCTCTCAAATTTACCTCCTTTAGGAAAATACATTGTCGTTTAAATTTTTATTAAAATAAAAAAAAAATTGGATGTAGCCGGAAAGTCAAAAAATACGTACGTTTTTTTTAATACGTATGAATGAATGATGGTACATTTGGGATACATACATGCAAAAGCAAAACAGAAGGGTGGTGGGGCTACGTATATGAATTCAAACGAGGCGTGGCCAGGGAGTGATCAAGAATCCCGCATAGATGGGACATTCGATTTGACCAATAATAATTTGAAATTAAAAAAAAAAGAAAAATATAAGATAGGACCCACCAACCCTGCTAATTCCACGGGCACACCTGTCACGCATGTCGGCTACACTCACATTTTCTCTTTTTTTTTTTTTTTTATTCAAAGAAAATATAAAGGTAAATGTAACGTGGATATCAACTTAAATCAATCTAAAATTTGTTAGTTTTATATTTTTTAATCATTAAATTTATTAATTTTTTAAATTTTTATATAAATAGATATTATCCAAATGTAATGTAAAAAAAAGAAAATATATTATTTTTATTATTTATAAAATAAGTCTAAAATTCTCAATAACTCACCGCCCCCTTCACACGATTTGCCTACGTGTCTCGATCAGGGAATGGAATCCATTGTTCCTCGATGAGAGTGCTCCGTACCGGATTGTTGTCTAGTCCCCATCATCGCTTCATTATTTTTAACTTATCAGCATAGTACTTATAACTTACTGTTCATTAAAAAACAAATATTCAAATCCGTGAAAAATTCGATTTTTATTTATTTACATTGTTATAAGCTCAAAAAATAATTTAAAATAATATTTAAAATTTATTAATTAGATAAATAAATTATAAATGTAATGAAATTCGATAATATTTTATTTGTTTACATCTCTAAAATATTGAAATAGTATTAACTACACTTAATTTCTAATTGAAATGAAAATGATAACTATGATTAATTTTTTACTAAAAATATATCTCAAAGCTTAGATTTTAAGATTTTTAAATTGAAATTACAATAAAATTTTATAAAATAAAAGTTAATTATTATACTTCTTGTTTATTAAAAGAAAAAAAAAATAGATGGCAGAAGATGTAGATTGAGAAATCCGAAAATTTCCAAAGAATTTTGGC